TAAAACACAGTTTTTTTTCTTCACCCAAAATCGTGTCCAAAAATCTGTTGCGTCTTATACATTAGTTTAGAACTCAATCCCATTTATTCCCGGACTCAAAACGGACAAAACCGCGGGTCAAATTGGATTTATTTGTTGACCCGAAAGATAATAATATCTATCTCATGGCGGATTGTAACAAAGGGAAATAAATCTTTCATAATTTTTTCTATAAGCCTCATACAGTTCCGGATTTCGTTGAGTCTAGGCACCTACGTGAGTTTGGAAATCATTCAAAGGTAAAAATATTATTTAATATACGATTAAAAAAAATACAGACTGAGGCAAAATTTCAAAATAAAAATCAGACATTTTTTATTGTTAGGCAATTAATAACTGTTTCGCAATAAACACCTTTAACGAGTTTTGCAAAAGAAAAGAAACAACAAAAAAAAACAATTACTGGCTTTGATGCTTGCCGTACGTACCGCTAATTTTCCAGATTTACTCATTTCTACGTCTAAAGTGATTTTCCAGATTTAATCATTTATATGCTAAGAGTCATTTTCCAGATTTACTTATTTAGACATCTAGTGTCATTTTCCAGATTTATTTATTCATACAGGAAGTGTCATTATCTAGATTTACTCATTTATACATCTAGTCATTTTCCAGATTTACTCATTTAAATCATGAGTAAATTTTCCAGATTTAATCCTTTAAATTATGAGTAAATCTGGAAAATGACGTATAGCCAAGAGTCATTTTCCAGATTTACTCATTTATACGCCAAGAGTAATTTTCCAGATTTACTCATTGATACGCCTACACTCATTGTCTAGATTTACTTATTTATACTCGTATACAATTAACTCAATTGTCCACATAGAGATATTATTACACAATTACTCATTTATACGCAAAGACACATTCTTCCAGATTTATCATTTATACGCCAAGAATGATTTTCCAGATATACACAGTTATACACCTAGAGAAATTATTCCAAGTTTACTCATTTATACTCCTACAGACATAATTCCAGATTTTCTCAATTATACACCTAGAGACATTTTTGCAGATTTACTTATATGACAAGAGTCATTTTCCAGAACTACACATTTATACGTCGAGAGACATTTTTCAGGGTAACTCATTTATACGCCTAGACGCATTTTACAGATTTACTCGTTGTTACGCCAAGAGACATTATTCCAGATTTACTTATTTATACGCCAAGAGTTTTTATTCCAGATTTACTCATTTATAGGCCGAGAGTCATTTATTCACTCATTTATCCGCCTAGCTTCATTTTCCAGATTTTCTCATTTATACACCAACTATCATTTTCCAGATTTATCGCCATCGTCACGTTTTCTTAATGCTTACGAATCACAAAAGGAAACAAAAAAGTCCCGTTTTTTTTTGTTTTTTTCTCTTTCTTCTTTCAGAAGGTCTGGTTATTTTCATTGCTCTAAAATCAGCCGCGTTTTATACATGAAAATAATCTTTTCCCTGAAATTTCTCTGCTTTCTTAACTGCGTCTTATACTGCCTAGCGATTTATACAGAAAGGAATATGGTAATTAGGGAACTTTCCTATACAAGACTGTAGATTAAACTCTATAAACTATGCCTTGTATCAAACTTGACGGAATCCAACAAATATGTTTATATCTTGCTTATCTCCCTTTATCACAACGTATCAAAATTGATCTTTTGTAAACCAGGAAATGATAAATAAATGAAAACAGGGATTGATGAAAGGAAAAAGAAAGCGAAATGAATGGAGCAATTTCCACTTGTGCCATAAAAATTGATTTACGGCTTTGTTTGTGAAAGCATTTAAAACAACGTAGATAACTCCGAAATGTAGGTGTTTTTCGCTTGACAATCCTCAGGAACAATTCTCTAGACAGAATTTCCGGCAAACTCCTACGTGTAAGTGACAATATGCTTTAAATTAATATTATTGAATTATATATATTCTTGTGTGGGTGCAACCTAAATCGACAGGACCCAATTTGAATTCCGATGACGTCACATATTTGCAATCTAAGCCACGAATAGTCAATAAATATCCACAACTTCCATCTCCGGAAGTAAAATCAACAATTATCAATAAACTACTATTAGCCTACACAACAGAATTCCATTTTGCGAATACGTAGGAAATATATGCACGCAAATCATTGTTGTTTATAGAGTCTGAAAAAAAAAAAGAAAAAAGAATTGGCTTATTTATTTGAACGCCTCCAAAACGAAATTCTTAATCGTCAACGAGAACCGTTTTTTACTTTCCATGGCTGATGCTAACCTCCAGGAGAGTGATTTATTGCTCCTTCTCTGTCTAACGTTTTCTATTGGGATGAAAGATTATGGAATCAATTATGAGGTCTAGGAAAACTGGTTCACTGTGTCGTGCTAGATAATTTTTCTCGCCAGAATCTATCATTTTTTTACAATGATGTTCACTTTGTACAAGGCCCAAGAACCACTCGAGGTAGAAGTTTACAAAGTAAGAGATAGCACCCCAAGCAAGGACGCGCTATGGCACCGAAAGTGAAAGAGAAAGAAAAGATCTTAAAAGGACTTTAGAAGGAACCGAAATCCTAATTATAAACAAGAAACAATGGATGAACCTCTACGTCCGCCCCCACCCTCCGGGAGGGGGGGGAACCGGACGATAGGCGAACCTATATTTGAATATTGTCCTGTCGTTGATTCAATACAAATTGAACTAAAAAGAAAACATTAAAAAAAAACCCTCAATAAATTCTGAATTATAAAATTTTGACTTTACATATTATCTGTTGTCTTCTTTATCTTTCATTTCCTTTTTTATGTACGAATTGAATGATGTAAGGTAATTATTCACCTGTCAGCATTCAACAGGTTCACCTATCGCTTAAACATTCAGAATTCTACAGCCTTCAGAAAACGAATTAAAAAAATAGAAAAACAATACGCGGAACCAGCAATTTTCACTCATTTCGATATATATATATATATATATATATGTGTGTGTGTGTGTGTGTGTGTGTGTGTGTGCAGATATGTAGGAAAACAGGAAAAAACACGTTAGGTAAATAATCCGGGGTTCTTTAGTATTTTGTTTTTATTTTAAAAAAACAGTGCTCCATACAGAAGTATAGCTTAAATTATAATTATTTATAAAAAAATATGATTCCTTCGCTACATAAGAGCTCTCATGTTTCAAAAACAAGAGCCAAAAATCTCAATATAATTATTCCTAAGTTTTCGCTTGAGGTTGAAACAGGGCTTGATATTTAATTCAATTTAATTTCAATAATTATATTGAGGTAGCGAAGGAATCATACATTTTAAAAAATAATTATAATATATATATATATATATATATTTGTGTGTGTGCATGTGTGTGTGTGTGTGTGCCTAATATTATTATGATACTTATGCCTCTTATTAATGTGTTGTCTGATGGCTCACTGGTCCGATAGGTAGCAAGTGAGTCTCCGTGAGAGTGTGGTTGTGGTTTATCTGATGTAAGACGTTTGTCTTTTTTAATTGAATGACTTAGGTTGAAGACTCACTTATCAACATTCGTTCACCTATCGCTGAAACATTATCAAAATTCTACGTCAACTTTAGAAACCGAATTAAAAAATAGAAAAACAACACGTGAAACCAACAATTTTCACTCGTTTCCATATATATATGTGTGTGTGTGTGTGTGTGTGCCTGTATGTATGTGTGCGTGTGTGTAATGTTATGATACCTATGTTGCCTATTACTATGTTGCCAGATGACATGCTGATCCGATAGGTGGCAGGTGAGTCTCCGTGAGAGTGTGGTTGTTGTATATCCTATGTAAGACCGCTCGTGCATTTTATATACAAAGAAACATTCTCTGAGTGGACTCATATACATCATTGGTCTTATATAGATAGTTGGAAGTTTGGGATATATTATATTTAATAAATAATCAACTAGAGTTAAATTACTAAAGGAAATTAACTGAAAACTGAAATATCAAGAAAAGACATGGCACGTGGAACTAGAACAATCTACCTCCGTGTACAAAATAAACGGTTCGAAATTCTTGGAGAAGGGTGAAGCGTTCAACGGCCGAAACGTCATGAATATAAAGGACAGCAGTCCGAACGATGTAAATCGTGTAAACATTGATGTTCTGGTATTATTTCGAACTACTGCTTGTTCGTTGATATAGATGTTATTATAGACATAATATTTCGAACATGTACCCTCTGGTCAAAATCAACTGTCCATTGTCCGGTTGATATGGGATATCTGCGGATCGTTGGACATATATATATATATATATATATATATATATATATATATATATATATATATATATATATGAATCCTCTTCTTCTCCCTCCAGCTATGGGTAAATAGCAGAACAGACTGGGTACTATAGCCTTGGATGGAAACTGGTCTAGGAGAAGGACAACTCTGAATTCAAAACTTGCGGATGGTCGTTTGGGGACGTTGTGGCACGTAGTGCACCAGGTCTCTGTGTTCGGCCCTCCAAAAAGGGTGGTTGGTTCTGCACGAAACCTTCACCACTATAATCAAATGTCATGTGCTGTTGTCGGGCTGTCGGTTTCCTGCTTGACCCTCATACGTCGGATTCGACGGAAGAGTCGAGCGAGCGATATATATATATATATATATATATATATATATATATATATATATAATATAACATCTATATCAAGGAAAATGAGAACAGTTCAAAATAATACGAAGAAATACTAAAATAATACATAGATTGGTTACAAAGTCATTAAATTATCTCATCGGCTAAGTTGTCATTTATCCAATAATAGCTTAATTAAATTTTATATCACCAATGAACACAACCAGAAAACAAAAGAAATCAGACAAGCTGTTACCAATAATAAACAAAGATAATTTACCAAATAAATTGTAAAAACTGACTCCAATTACTAGAAGGCATAACCATTCAAAACAAACAATAAACCATCAATAAGGTTTCATTCAGTTCACGAACGTATGAAATATGTTTTGTAACTAATAATATTAATATTATTAGTTGTGGAATATATTTAGTGACGAGTAAAAAATATCATACTTGAAAATATTGGTCACAAAGTTAATATTTGAAAAAGAAAAACAGAAAACATTCCGACGTGTAAAGAAACGACCATCGAAAATTACGAAAGAAAAGACATTGCATATCTATCTATCTATCTATCTATCTATCTATCTATCTATCTCGTTCTTTCTGTCTCAGTCTATTTATATCTATTTATCGATCGATCGATCGATCTATCTATAAATGACAATTTCTTCATATTTATCAATCTATCTCATTCTATTCATACCCATCTAACTATGTATCTATCTATCCAAGTCTCTTCATACCTATCTATCTCTATTCATATCTATTCAATTCTATCTATCTCTTTCTTTCTATCTGCCTCTGTTTATTCATATCTATCTATCGATCTTATCAATTACAATTTCTTCACATTTATCAATCTGTTTATCTCACTCGGTTCATATCTATCTATCTATCTATCTATATATCTATCTATCTATCTATCTATCTATCTATCTATCTATCTCAGTCTCTTCATATTTCTCTCTTTATCTATCTATCTATCTCAATTTCTTCATATTTATCTGTCGATCAATCTATCTATCAATTACAATTTCCAAATTGCAAAACGTCATAAATTGTCGTCTAATTGACGCAAAATTAAAAATAACACTGACATATCCTTTGAACAGATATATTTACCAAAATTACACAAAAATATCTGTGAAATACCAAAGGGTAAATTTATTCAATAAAATCGCCATTGTCTTCAGCCACGGCCTCCAGACGACTTTGGGACCTCCTGCAATTCTTCTTAGAGGTAAAATCTCCGACTGATACAAAATCAGTCGGATTTCGATCTCGGCTTGGGGCAATCGGATGTCTAGCCACGCTGATGAGCTGCGAAACACTCTGTCTGTGGATATATATATATATATATATATATATATATATATATATATATATATAGAGAGAGAGAGAGAGAGAGAGAGATAGGATATAAAATATTTATACCATCAGTGTTTCTGCCAGAAATTGGTTAATGAAACCGTTCTTGGAGAAACTGTGGCAGCATCAAGGTCAGTGTTTCCAATATTTTCCATCTTAAATTTCCCTACATTTTCGTTTTTTGGAAATTGTATTGAGCGCTCTTTTAATTTAGCCATTGGGGGGGTGGAGTATCACTTTTACCATAGAATTGAATTCATAAAGTGTATATAAAAATCGAGAAATATAAACAGTCATTCAGTTACTGATAGCCTCTGAGAAGTAGAGGGTGGAATGCCAGGAGGGTCCGTCTACGAGACTCTGGAGTCGGGATGCTGCAGATAACATCAATCAGTTAAGTGACAAACCTATGAGTAACCATAAGTAATGGTAGTTGAGAGTCGGGGTCGCTTTCATGAGCCGCGCCTATCCGAGCTGAAATAACGAACCCAACTCTAATTGTTTCCCACTTTCATAGTGTTCGTGAATTATCAAATTCCCTTAATGCTCGAATGTGTTGATAATACGCCTTAAATACTCGATTCTTGGTCACATCAACAAATTCTATGAGAGTATCAACAGAATCACGCACGTTAGATATTTTCGGTCGTTCGACTAATGGACTTCACTCGCTATGCGCGGGGGTTTTCAGTCCCAGCCGGACACTACCATTTCTGCGGATTTTGTCCGTTAAATCCAGAGTCCGTTAGTTCCGGGACCGTTAATTCGAGGCTTTAGTGTACTTGCTTTTAAGAAAAGTGTTGTTTTTTAATTAAAAAAAAAATTTAAATAAAAAATTAACTGATAAATTTGATGTAAAATATTTAAACTTTCTAAAAAGAGAATATCTAGAAAAGGATTTTTCAAATATAAGTCGGTCAAAGGCGAGCGGTTTAAGATTTAATTTTCAAATTTCGAAAAGCTATACACCTTTGGATTTTATGACCAATCAGGGGGATAAATTCCACCCACGCGAATTTAAAATTTGATCTTCTCCCGGAGTCTATTTCGGGACTATATAAGAAGTCGAGTGGGATTTAAAATTTCAGAAGGTTACAAACGGTATAAGATTACAAACGGTATAAGATTACAAAGAAGTTGTCACCAACAGATGAACTAGATTGTTTCTTACGGAAGAAGAAGCAGGCGATGAGAGAATCAAAAAAGAAGCAGAACCTAAATAAATTAAAAATATTTCTAATATTAATAAATGAACTGTGTTAAAAAAAAAAGAATATATTTGTTAAAGTCCCAGCGACTGGCGAATCCGCCAAAACCTTCTCAATTTCAACTTTTCTTATATTGCCCGGTTCATTCTCCTCCTCGCTCATTTGAACGAGATTATACCGTGTTCCCTGTTTAGGATTGGGTTTCCGGTTACTACTAGTCTTTTCATTCTCTATAACTCCTAATCGTCTCTTGCGTCTTAGTGGCATTATCGCCTTGTTTGGGAGGAATTGATTTTTTTTTTAAAAAAAAGTAAGTGTATCTTTTTTGAAAGAATGTGTATTTTAAACCCTTTTTAAATATTGTTTTGTTGAATAATTTATATCTGCTTTTATGAACCATATTTTTATTTTTGGATTGATTATCTTGCCTATTTTTCTTTTTGTGCGCCTTATTAAAGGGAAACAAGAAGAAAATTTTGTGCAAACTTATTTGTAAAGATAGTATTGTCTTCTATTGTGTTGTGTGTCGCTGTAATAAATGTCTGTTTCTCTCGAATTCCACATCGGAGTTACGAGTGTTATCTGTTTTCGTATGTGCCTGATTCAATATTCGGGATAAGAGAAGTGACGCCCTCTTTTCTCCCACTCTAAAATAAAAAAAAAATCCTTTTAAATAAATTAAACAACAATAAAAGTCTAAACGCCTACTTCCCGATTTATTTTCAAAATGGCTGATCAAACTATTCAATACTGTTTCCATTATTAATCAACTTATAGTTTGCATTAATCTGTCAACCATCTCTGTGTGCGCTTTTTATTCCATAGGGTGGTTTGATTTATTTTTTATATGAAAGCAGAAGTCACTTGCCTTTTTCTGTAGAGTGTGCGAACAAACATTTTAAATATTAATTAAAATTTATAAAATTGTTTGTTCAATATGTTTAGTTTAGTTAGTGATTTCAGCAAATACTTTTTTTGAAGTAAAGGTTAAAAAATCTAGTAGATATATGAAAATATTTGGCTCCTGCAGATATTACAAATACACGTATTAGTTTATATGTCTGTATATGTACAACATTGCTAATTTAGTTTACGTTTACAATGAAAAATTAAAAGATGTCTTTACTACACAAACAACATGTCACCCTTTTTTGTAGTAGTAGTAGTAGTAGTAGTAGTAAAGACAAGAGAAAAATGTCCATATAAAATTTTGTAACAGCTATTATTTCTGCATTTTATGAAGGAATTAAATCATTAAAAATAACGAGTAAGATACTTTTATTCAGAAAGATTTCCTTTACAAAATTTAATGTCTTGAAAAAGCCATTTAAAAGCCTTTCGACATAAAAAAGTGTTAGACGTAATTTGAATCGATTTAACTGAACATTAAAAGAAAAACTTTATAAAAAAAAACTCCGAAGACAAAAATAAATTTATCTATTTTTAGTCACTAAGTCTGTCCTCGATTATAAATAAATGAAAAATAAATTTCTTTGAAAGGAATTCAATGCTTTGAACATGATCTTAGAAATTAATCGTCAAAAAGTAAGTTTATCTATCGCATTTTTTGTCTGTATCTATCTCAATCTGTTCATATCTATTTATCTCGTTCTCTTCATCCATCTATCTATCTATCTATCTATCTATCTATCTCAGTCTATATTCATATCTATCTATGTATCTCAATCAATCTATCTATCTCAGTCTATATTCATATCTATGTATATCTATCTATCTATCTATCTATCTATCTATCTCAGTTTCTTCATCTATCTGTCTATCTATCTCAGTTTCTTCATCTATCTATCTATCTCAGTTTCTTCATCTATCTATCTATCTATCTATCTATCTATCTATCTAGATAGATAGATAGATAGATAGATAGATAGATAGATATTCCTACACGTTTTATTAACAAGCTCAGTAAGTAAAATTTGTTCGAGTTTTGCCTTTTTATTATGGATCCAACTGACTTGTCAATTGAAAACGTTGTTGCTGATGTTGTTGTTGCTGTTGTTGTTATTATTGCAGCTGTTGTTGTTGTTGTTGGTGATGGTGGTGTTGGTGTGTGTCCGCGACAGATGCTTAAGGTGAATCCATTAATATCTGATTTACAATTGTGTGTACTTTTCGTCCTTTCGCATCGCTTGCTTCTCTGTCTGGAAATAAGAAAAAAACTCCAGCTGTCATTAAAATAACACGTCACTGCTTCAGACTCGATCTTTTAACATGTCTGACAAACGAGCTGTCTTGTTTGTCTGACTTTTTGTCTGAGTATGCTTCTTTTTCTCCCTATTTTCTTTTTCTCTTCTTCCAATTCTCTCTCAATAACGAATGGCCCCCGTTTTAGCTCAACAAAAGGAAAACAATCCATTCGGAATGTATTACTCGTCTAAACCCTCTTGTTATACGATTTTTTCTTCATCATTTTTTACTTCAAACTTTATTACAATGGACTCTTGTATTTGAAACAGAAGCTTCATTTTTTAACAGTGTGCATTACGTCTATCGATCTGCACATTTGTGAAATTTTAATAAAAGATAATCTATTCGGGACCTTTTCTGTTTATTCACCCCGAATAATATACAATTACTTATCGCAAATATGAATTCACCACAAGAAATTATAAATTTTAAAGTTTGTTTAACTTGGCTCGCAACAGTTCCAACCTCCAGAATGAAAAATTACCAAAAATCAGCGAGTTTTTCATATTTCGTAAGTACAGATGATATTCGAGGTACTTACAAGGAATTTTTTAAATTGAAAAAAAAAAATCTGTTTTTGACTTGTTTATCGGAGTGATTGCGACCGTAGACCCCACACTTAGAAATAGCGCACTCGAGTCGCCAACATTTGAGGCAATCGCAAGGGTCAACTCAACCAGGGTGAAATGGAGACGCCTCACTCTGGGAGAATTTGGTGTGAACTTTAGTAAATATAAAAATTCTTTTTTATTTTGGGGTGAATTAAAAGATCTTGTACTCTCCGGCAAGGATCGAACTTGCGTCGGCCTTTTTTGATCCGACGTGCTTGACCACTCGGTCACAGAGAGCGAGCAGTTGGTCAAGGTCCTACTTTCCCTTGCACGCTTCCGCAGTCGAATATTTTTCTCAAAAGCGCAGTTTAGAAATTGCTTTGTTTACATTTTGTATTTAGATAGATAGATAGATAGATAGATAGATAGCAAAACCTCGAATTAACAGTCCCGGGGGCAACAGACTCCGGATTGAATGAACAAAATCCACAGAAATGGTAGTGTTCAGCTAAAAGTCCCCCACCCCCGCATAGCGAGCAAAGTCCATTAGTTCCGTTTACTGGCGCAATCAACAGACAGAACTGGTAGTTCCTGGAATAGCCACTCGTCGTGTACATAGCATCTCTCTCTCTCTCTCTCTCTCTCTATATATATATATATATATATATATATATATATATATATATATATATATGTATGTATGTATGTGTGTGCGTAATTTATTTTAAGTTACTATATAATAACTTAAAATAATATATATATACTTATATATTGTATTTACATTTATTTACAATAATTTTGTACCGTACTTTGTGTTTTTAGGCCATGAAAAAGTGCTTCAAATTAATGGGCAAACGGCCTTAAAGGACGACCCTCTCTTATATTAACCCGTTAAATTGAGGTTACAATATATATATATATATATATATATATAGAGAGAGAGAGAGAGAGAGAGAGAGAGAGAGGTTTGATTGAATAAATGACAAACATTATGTCTGCTAATTTTTAATAAAATCCGTTCATACTCACGAATAACCTTCCGTGTATTGTTGTTAAAGGATGAGAGAAGTCTGCTATAGCTGTTTATAGCTTTTGTTTCCATCTCCCAGGTACTTTTGATCTTTTTCCAAGATAATCTTTAGGAGTGCAAGTAATACAAAACTATATGTTGTTCGTTAATATAAGTATTTATACAAAGTTGAGCGTTGTTATCCATTATCGTAATTTTTTCATCATGCTTTTAAATGCAAAATGGTTGACAATGTGCTGAGCGTTCAAAAGTACTTGGGAAATGAAAACAAAAGAAATTTAAACAGCCATCTATAGCACATTTCTCTCATTTTATTCCAAAATTCGCTTGAGGATGAAACAGAGCTGGGTACTTTAATTCAATTTAATTTTTATAATTAAATTGAATTTTTAGCTTTTGTTTGAAACATGAGAACTATTATGTAGCAATGGCATCATATTTTTAAAAAATAATTATAATTTCGGCTCTACTTGTGTATTGAGCACTATTTTTTAAAATAAAAACAAAAATACTAAAGAACTTTGGATTATTAACCTAACGGTTCTTTTTTGTCTATATATTTGCACACACACACACACACACACACACACACACACACACATATATATATATATATATATATATATAACCAAGTATATAATTGGTATATACGGAATGAATTCCAATAACCAACAATTACTATTCTTAAAAGAGTGCTCAATACAAAGTAGAGCAGATATAATTATTATTTATAAAAAAATTATAACATAAGTATGCTATAAAATCACAACAAAAATAGCCATTTTGTTTCAACACCCTCGGTGTCTTATCAAGTGATGATGTTGAAGATAAAATAAATGTTTTTTTCATTTATTTACTTTTTGAAACCTCTCTTTATAACATCCTCACTGATGAAATCCCATTTTGGCGGGAAAATAAAATGTTATATTTATCGGCAAAACAGCATCGTAATTTTCAACATTATTTTAGTCGCTTAATTTCGATTTTATTCTTAATGTCAAAAATCGACAAAATGTCTTCGTAATTATTATTTTATTTTATTATTTTTTTTTTTTGACAAAATTTATGGATGCGTATTATACAGAAATATATATTTCTTAATGTTTTGATCATTTGTTGGGTGTGTATTATTTATGGGTGTGTATTATTTTCGAGAAATTACGGTAATTACAGGACTGGAAAGGCTTCGGTAAATCTTTACGACAGGTTTTAAAATATTTGTGGTATTTCGTTAAAGATGAAAATTGATGTGTACGTGTCATTAGTAGGAACATGACTATTTTATGATGGAGAATCTTCGACATTGTACCGACGACACATCAATCAATTTGATGCTTTCCATTTGTGCTGCCTACGGTCCCCATCTGCATAAGAAAACAGAGTGATCACATTAGAAACATTGAAGTTCTAACAAAAATGCAACATGACGGGCATTGAAACCATCCCCCATGATGAGGACAGGACATCTTTCTCGTATGAACGATAGCAGACTTTTAAAACTTTTGGCAGGCGGGGGCAGCTTCAAAGAAGCAGGTCTGTTGGAAGAACGAAGGAGCTGGGCGCCTGTCCTGCTTCTCATCTACACAAAGGTTTGAGCGAAGCCGACTTGAACTGTGTGCAAATATTAAAGCAAGTTGGCAGCATTCTGATCCTCTCAATGATAGCGCTTTAAACGCCATTGTGGCTTTGTCACCCGTAGTAAATGAGGCCTTGATGACCAATCGTGAAAATATGTGTCAATTGATCCTCGACCACTTGAACGAAATAGCTCTAACTCATATAACATCTGTTTAAAAGTTTGCAAAACATCTGCAGGCCTTGAGTGATACATGCGTGTCCTAAGAAGTTTAGCCCTTCTTTATTATACTGAGAATGTTAAATCATTATTCAAGAGAGAGAGAACAATACAAGAACGGGAATTAAGACGACAGTAGATAACGATTGACATTACATTTCAATTTTTGAAGATCAATATCGATTGGGAAGCAAGAAGCCGAAGAGAATTCCACAAGCAAGAAGTGAGAGAGAAGAAACTGTTAGCATAGAACTTACGGTTACATCAAGCCAGCTCAACTGTAAAATGATGAGACTTTGCCGGCATCAAGTATATGTAAAATATTTGTAAAATATTTTTTTTCACATGAAAAAATCTTATTGATAGTAAGATAAGGATTAAATATGAACCTAATTTCTCATATATTTGGACAGCTTCTTCACAAAATGTGTTTAATAAAAAAGCAAGTATTCAAAGATATGATTTGTATTTATATTCTTGCGAAAATATTGTGGTATGGTCCACGTTATACAAGATTGACTATGATTCAGGTTTCCATGAAGAACATTTATTTACTCCTGGTTTATAGTAATATTAAATATATTGTCAACAAACTCAAAGACAATCTGAAGTGAGGCAGCATCCACTTGTCTTCCTAGGAAAACAAAGCGTTAGAGCGAAGGAGCTGGGCGCCTGTCCCGCTTCTCATCTATACAAAGGTTTGAGCAAAGCCGACTGGAACATCGGGATCAACTGCAGGCAAATATTAAAGCAAGATGGCAGCATACCTGATCCTCTCAATGATGGCCTTTTACACGCCTATGTGGGTTTGTTGCACGCAGTAAAGCAGACCTTACTGTCCACTCGCAAAACCATACAAAATGGGTCTACCACTTGGTTTCATCTGTTTAAATGTCTGTAAAACACCTACAGTCCTCGGGAGACACATGTGTGTCCGTAAAAGATGGGCACCTCCTCATATTACTGAGCTCTCATTTGTCGTCGACGAAGTGTCCACTATATATATATATATATATATATATATATATATATATGGGTAGGATAAAAATGTACATATTGCATTAACTGTATGAAACTCAGAGTAGTGTATCGACGTTGGATATTATGTATATTCACTAATATATATATATATATATATATATATATATATTTTAACATACAACGTGTGTTAGCACGTGCGATACCCTGTCTTCATCAGTCGCCGACCAGGGGTGATCTCACGGTTTCGGTGGCTATGGTGGGACCGCCACCCCTGGCGCCACCAGCAGCGTTTGCCACCA